CAGGTAATCACAGAGCATCTGGCAGGAAACTCTGTCAATTCAGATGTAAAGCAGATATGTGTAGTACGTGTCTTTTGACAGTTCATCAATGGGGGCTGCTTTCAAACAAGTTGTTGTTTGGCTGACAACCATGGCGATGTGCTTCTTCCGCTCAGGCTAGTATTAGAAATTTCATTAACATGTAAGGCTGAAAGCATAAGAACATAAGAGACGCCAATGTAGGATCAGGCCAAAGGCCCATCCAGGCCAACACTCTGTATCACACAGTGGCCAGAAATACCAGTGCCATCAGGAGGTCCACCAGTGGGGCCAGGACATTAGAAGCCCTCCCACTGTTGCCCCCCCCCAAGCACCAAGAAGACAGAGCATCACTTGCCCCAGAGCCCCTATCTATACCTTGTGGCTACTAGCCACTGATGGACCTCTGCTCCATATACCTATCTAATTCCCTTTTGAAGCCGTCCATGCTTGTAGCCGCCACCACCTCCTGTGGCAGTGAATTCCATGTGTTAATCACTCTTTGGGTGAAGAAGTACTTCCTTTTATCCATTCTAACCCAACCGCTCAGCAATTTCATGGAGTGCCCATGAAAGTACCTCTTTCTCTACCATCTATGTGTATCTGTCAGAACAGGTGATTTGAACAGCTTTCTTGAGCCTAGGGTGTACGTGTGCACAGTCCATGTAGTATCTGGCAGCAAATATAAATACATCAAGCAAATATCAGTTTCATCTCTCAACAACCACGTGCGCTGCTGGCTAACACACGACCCTTTCCCTAGTATTTCCCTCATTTTTCGCTGCAGACTCGACTCACTCCATCGGACTGGAGTATCCCCTCTCGATATTTTCCTGCTAATGCGACAGTTTCTGTACTTTCTATCTAAATTCCTAGTTCTGTATTGTTTGAGTGTATGATTGTTTTGTTGCGTGTGTGTGTGTGTGAAATTATTCAGTAAAGAAACCATTTTATTTAAGATCTAGTCTCCTTGTCTATTTCTGGGGATCTGGATAAATTGGTATACACAGGTTATTGGTCCCGTAATTAAGCCTATTGCCATTTAATATTCTAATTCCCCACTCTTTATTAAGAAATCAGGCAATTTGGCTGACAGCTGTCAGGTGGCCATTGGGCCTCTGCTTGAAAACCGACATAGAAGGAGAGCTCACCAGTTTGGTGTAGTGGTTAGGAGATTGTAAGCCGCTCTGAGACTCCTTTGGGGAGTGAAGGGCAGGGTATAAATCCAATCTCTTCTTCTCCTCTTCTCCTGAGAAAGCCTGTTCCTGTGAGGAACCCGCTCTCACTGTCAGGAAGTTCTTCCGAATGTTTAGCCAAAAACTCTTTGTATTCAATTTCAACCTGTTGGTTCTGGGACAATTACATTCTGTGGTGAGCCACCTGCTCCTGGTCTCTACTGATACCAAGCTTGTTAGGGTCAACCACACACCATAATTCCAATTTAGCATCTTCTTGCTGGAGTCTGAAACTCTTTTGCTGGGAACCAGAATGGCCACTTTATTGATACTGGTCTTACAGCCAATTTGGCTCTGAACAGTAGTGTCACACTAAGACTAAAAAAAAGGGGGAAAGGGGGGGATTTATTTAATACATGTGTCTGCATAATATAAAATTTAATTATTTTTAATCTCAATCGACTGAGCGAAGAACTTGGCCGCTGCCGATGTAATATTAAAATCCATCCCTGCTAAAAGAAACCTCAAATTCTCCGATTCACACCTAGAGTTTTGGATATATGGTTTTATCCAACTATCTCTTGCCTCATTAAGCAAATCAGTCGAATAGACAATGCTGAAGAGTGTCTATTACCAGAATGGCCACGGAGGGTGAAAAAATTGCCCCTCTGGTTTCTGTGTGTTTCTGTTTTCCGTGCCTGATCCATGCCTATTAACCAGACCATCTTCTTAGATCTCCGGATTTCTCGCGAAGGTGTAACTGGGGAAATTGTTCGATGGGGGCAGTAGTGCTGGATGTTGAACTGGAGGTGGATGTTGGAGCCATCAGTGAGGGTTGGCTTAGTTTGGCCAGACCATCTGATCTTCATCAGACTGGCTTTACTTCTGGGGTTGCCAACTCTGAGTTGAGAAATTCCTGGAGATTGGGAGGGGGGAGCCTGGGGAATGTGGGGTTTATACCTCCAAAGCAGCCATTTTCTCCAGGGGAGCTGATCTCTACCATCTGGAGACCATTTCAAGATGGGTGGCTGTGTTAGTCTGTCTGTAGCAAGAGAAAAGAGTAAGAATCCAGTAGCACCTTAATGACTAATAAAATTTAGATTCACAGAATCATAGAGTTGGAAGGGACCTCCAGGGTAATCGAGTCCAACCCCCTGCAGAATGCAGGAAATTCACAAATATCTCTCCCCCCACACCCCCAGTGACAAGAAACCTCCAGGATCCCTGACCAAACTGGCCTGGAGAAAAAATTGCTGCCTGACCCCTAAGTGGCGATTGGCATTTCCCTGTGCATGTAAGAAAGGGCCACGAGAACTAAGCACTGAGGCAACCCTTCCTGCCCTCCCTCTCATGGGTCCTTTCTGCACTTGGATCTCATCCCTGGGTTTATCAGAGTTCAACTCGCGACAGAATACCTTGCATTTATCCTTGGTTATAACAACATTCGTTTATCCTGGGACAAGTGTGGGGCAAAACCAGGGTGACCTCAATATAATGTGGGGGGGAATACCCCGAGATAATTACAGGGGTAAACTTGAGTATACTGTAGAATGTAAAAATACCCCGAGATAATTACAGGGGTGAACTCGAGTATAGTGTAGAATGTAAAAATACCCCGAGATAATTACAGGGGTGAACTTGAGTGTAGTGTAGAATGTAAAAATACCCCGAGATAAGGGGTGAACTCAAGTGGAGTGCAGAATGTAAATATACCCCGAGATAATTACAGGGGTGAACTCGAGTATAGTGTAGAATGTAAAAATACCCCGAGATGATTACAGGGGTGAACTCGAGTGTAGTGTAGAACGTAAAAATACCCTGAGATAATTACAGGGGTGAACTCGAGTGTAGTGTAGAACATAAAAATACCCTGAGATAATTACAGAGGTGAACTCAAGTATAGTGTAGAATGTAAAAATACCCCGAGATAATTACAGGGGTGAACTGGAGTGTAGTGTAGTGTTGAATTAATTGTACCACCACCGTATTAACATCATGAGGAGCACTGGCCCTGGTATGGGGATGACAGTTATAGTGTAACATCAATTGAGCAGAGACAATTGTGTTTACTCGGAGTGTGTTATTGTTATTGGCATTTTATTATGGAATTGATATGGTCTGTTGAGCACCGACTTTTAACTGTTTTATAGGTAATAATTGTTTATTGTTTTATGTATGGCATTTGCCTCTATGTTCGCCGCCCTGAGCCCATGTTGGAAGGGCGGGATACAAATTTAATTAATAAGTAAAATAAGTAAATAAGTTCAGGCACAGGGTTGAACCAGGATTTAAGGTCTAGTGCAAAGTCACCCATGATTAGCCTAAAATTCATAGTGTCATCGAATCAGCATTGCTGTCAGATGGCCATCTAGCCTCTGCTTAAAAACCTCCAAAGGAGAGCCCAGAGTAGGACTTTTCATGAGTCACTGCTCACTTTTGTATAGGATCCTGCCCCCACACCTGTCCAGGAATGAGGAGGGAAGCCCATACTTTTCAATACATTTAACAACCACCCAGAGAGTATGCTATCCTTTCTGGATTTCAGAGCACGTTGCCACCAGGATCTCTTCTTAATCCCTCACCAGCCTGAGATTAGAGGTCCACAATCTCAGTTGGCATCTGGGTTGTACACACTAGCACCTCTTTCCAGAGACACACAATTAATCTTACACAGAGGTAGCTTATAGGTTGAGCATAAGGCACAGGAGTCTGGCCTTAGAATCCAGTTACAACAATACAGACAAGTTATAAACCAGAATAAGTTTATTCAGTAGAGAATTTAGCATAGACTAGAAGGATTTCAAAATAACAAACCTAAGGTAGTGTGCCTTAACTAAACAGTAATTCATATTTACCACGTCAGGCAGCATCCAAGAGTTCAAGATTGTCCATTGTAATACTCCAGGTAGCATCAAGAGATTTTGAGGAACAAGAATTCAATCCTTGCAAGCACATGCTCAGCTCACAAAAGCAGTCCTTTGTTCTCCCACAGACCACATGGCAGGACAACACTTCAGGTGCACAGAACACAGAGCAGCAGAGAGCACAACAGGAGAAGAAGAGAGTTCCTCTCATTGGGAATGACCAGATATAGTGCAATCCCCGTCCCAAATTAGCCCTGGCCAGGGGCCAATAGGGAGTGGAATGGTGTGAGTCCAACTGTTGGTGGTCATGGCAACGGGTGGGGATAGGCTAGGTCCGGAGACCATCCTCTGCAGTCAGGTGACCCCCCAAACTCCAGCCCCTCCATCGGCTACGTGAGCTTCTGACATGCTTGGGAGAGGCCATCTGGTCTCTCCCAGCGTGGAGGTGTGAAGAATGTGGGTTTATGGTATGGCAACCAAGGCCATGGGGCCCACCACTTGGCCTCAACAGGAAATACAGCACAGCGTGGTATCAGAAGACATTCTAGGGGAAGGCAGGGGCTTTTAGAAATCAATATTTCTATACAACTTCTTCAGATAGTATCACGAAAGTTCCTATCCCCCCACAAATTCTGTTAGTCTTTAAGGTGCTACTGGACTCTTGCTCTTTTCTACTGCTGGAAACCAGGTGTCATTCCAGGAGATCTACTTCAGGCCAGCAGAGAAATTCTGCCAGCTCTTTGGAACAAAAAACAAATCCTTGGCAATATGAATTGGGTCTTGGCTATGGGGGAAAATGGCACGCTTGGGATTCAAGTGGATGAAGTGGAATAGGCTTTTGTTTGGGCGTATGAAGGCCAGAGTAAACTTTGAAGGCAGCCGACTCCAGAACTGTGGCGAGCAAGAGATGCAGACCGATAGGCTTGGCTCAAGACAACTGGGCCTAGGCGAAGGTCTGGGGCTCGTTGAGTGGGCTTGGAAGCGTGACGTAGAAGGAAGCTGCTGCTCCTAGACAGGCTTGCTGAAATTCAGTTGCAGTATCAGAGCTAAAACCAAGAAAAAGGAAAACAAGAGAAAGCGGGACAGTTCAGCCAAGGTACATGTCATAAGAACATGACAACATCAGAAAAGCCCGGCTGGATTAGTGGTCCATCCAGTCCAGCATCCTGCCTCACACAGTGGCCAACCAGTTCCTCTGGAAGGCCAACAACAGGGCATAGAGACCGAGGCCTTCCCCTGAGAAGAACATCAGAAGAGCCCTGTTGGATCAGCCCAGTGGTCCATCTAGTCCAGCATCCTGTCTCACACAGTGGCCAACCAGTTCCTCTGGAGGCCTTTCCCTGAGAAGAACATTAGAAGAGCCCTGCTGGATCATACCAGTGGTCCACCCAGTCCAGCATCCTGTCTCACACAGTGGCCAACCATTTCCTTTGGAAGGCTAACAACAGGACAGAGAGGCCGAGGCCTTCCCCTGAGAAGAACATCAGAAGAGCCCTGCTGGATCAGACCAGTGGTCCATCCAGTCCAGCATCCTATTGTAGAGTATGTCCAGGCTTAAATATTTTAAATTGATTATTACTGTCTTATAGAAACCTTTGGGATAAAATTCTTTGGGATTTTCCTGGACAGTTAGCATCCTGTTTTAGAACATTAGACAGTGTTGTATAGCACCAAATGATTTCAATCATTTTTAATTGACATGTTTTTAGCTCTTGTTTTAACGGAAGAAAATGAGTGTTTGTGATGTAACTTTTTAATGGAAATTAATGTAGGTGTTTATGCCCATTAATTTAACCAACTTTGAAGACCTGTCGAGAGTCCTAGATTTATATTTATAAAAAGTTTAGCACTTCAAAAGGGAGGTGTGATCCTCCCTTATTGAAGTCTCTGCCAATTTTGGTCAAATTGACCTGGTAGCAGTTTTTGTTTTGTGGAAAGCAGCTCTGAATGAGAGCTTATGAATGAGAGACACAGAACATATTCAATGTATTAGATGCTTGGATTAAATATTTATATATGTATTATATTATTTTAAATAAGGAAAATACTTTACATTTTGAAAAGTTAGAACAAAGCTTTGTTTGCTAGTAATGCTAAATTAGAAAGCTTGCAATCACTGCCAATTGTTTCCTCTTCTATTTCAAAGGGGAGAGCCTAATTAGAATAAAGTAATGTTATTATGCATTGTAACATAGAGAAATCCTTTCTCTTAATATAACTGTTTGGTTTTTAAGATTTCATGTTATGTTTGAGACAAGTTAATGTATAAGATGTTTATAAATTCTAAGTTCTGTTAGTTTAAAGCAAAGAAGGATGCTTGCCTGAAGAGAAATGTTTTAAGGGACTGTGTTTAAAGCCAAGTTAAAGAACTAACAAAAAAGAGTTGGAAAATGGTCAAGAGCTGTGCCAGGTGTGTGTGGACATAAAAACATAAATCATGAATAAGTAGAAAGAAACTAAGTTGAAAAGGCTAATGAAAAGGAGTGTATCTTTTGAAGTTCCAGGGAGGAACCAGCTATTGAGTTCAGCCAGGAACCAAAAGTCATTAAATCATGCACATCTGCCAATTAAAAGGTGCAGATCATGACTCTTGGCACCAATTAGAGAAATCAATTAAAAGGTGTAGAATTTGTGTTTTAGAACAGTGTCTCCTACAGGCTGAACTAAGCTATAGGTTTTACAAAGTATAAACCTCAATTTTAGCTGAACAAGTTTCATGAAATAATCAAGAATAATTCTGTAAAATTTTCCTGATGAACCAAAATGAATAATAATGTGTAAATCAATGTATCTACAAGAGCTTAATGCTACAAGGTATTTTGAAAAACTAAAAGAATTCATGTAAAGAGTTTAATGCTTTAGAATGTCATTGTGATGATATGTTTTTATATTTTGTGTATCTGTAAGTGAAAATAAGTTTATGAAAATGCTTTAAGATACTTTTATATACATGTATTATGTGTAAAGAAGAACTAAATTTGTAGAATTTTGTAACTGAACTGACAGAATGTAGTATGGAGAATGAACCCAGCCTGAGAAGTTCAGTCAGAGGTAACAGGACTCTGGGAGGAGTGCCAAAGGAGTAAACAAAGCTATAAATTAGAAATAATGACCTGAACCTGTGCTGTAGGAGTGGGAAATTCAGCCAGCTACCATCCTGTATGCGAAATATGTGATTGATGACTGATCAGACAAAGAAAACTGAACTGAGCATGTCTACATGATGTCAGTGATGATCTAAAGTGAGGAGGAGCAAAAAGAGTATATAAGTTTGCTCATTGCGTTTGCTTGTTGAACACCAAAGCTGAATTAAGCTGTAGGGCATTCCTTATTCGAATAAACGCTTTTGTTACCCTTTACTGCCTGGATGATTGTTTTCACTGTGTGGTTTATCAGCTAGCCACACAAGTCAAAGAATCTTAGTGCCTTTAGCGTATTGGCAACACTATCTCACACAGGGACCAACCAGTTCCTCTGGAGGGCCAACAACAGGGCAGAGAGGCTGAGGCCTTTCCCTGAGAATAACATAAGAGCCCTGCTGGATCATACCAATGGTCCATCCAGTCCAGCATCCTGTCTCACACAAGGGCCAACCAGTTCCTCTGGAGGGCCAACAACAGGGCAGAGAGGCTGAGGCCTTCCCCTGAGAAGAACCTCAGAAGAGCCCTGCTGGGTCAGACCTGTGAGGGTCCATCTAGTCCAGCATCCCGTCTCACCCAGTGGCCAATCAGTTCCTCTGGAGGGCCAGCAACAGGGCAGAGAGGCCAAGGCCTTTCCCTGATGTTGCCTTCTGGCACTGATATTCGGTGGTACTCTAGGGCATTATACCCCAGTGGTACTCTGGGGCATTATACCCCTTCCCCAAACCCCCACCCTCCTCTGGCTCCACCCCCAAAATCTCCACGTATTTCCCAACCCAAACCTGGCAAACATATATTCAGAAGATGACTGCCTTTGAATGTGGAGGTTCCCCTCAGTCCCCATGGCTAGTAGCCACTGGTAGGTTTACCCTCCATGAATCTGTCTTATCCCCTTTTAAAGTTGGGAGATGAGCACCGCAACACTACAGTCGGATTCGACTGGCTTTCAAGTGAGGGAACCTTTTCCTTTTACCTATTCCTGTGGCCATCACGACATCCTCTGGCAGCGAATCCCACCTTTTGAATCACTCTCTGTGTAAAGCAGTATTTCCTTTTATCCGCCCTGAACCTACTGCCCATCAGAGCTTCATTGGATGACCTCAAGATCTAGTCTTTGGGGAGAGGGACAAAAAATGTCAGGTGCATGGGGGCCATGAGGGAATAAATGACCGTTAAGGCTTCTTCCTGTAGACTTATCCCAACAAAGGGATACTTTGTGAGCTCCTGGCATTAAAATTGTGAGCGAGTGATTTGGCTATTGCATAAATTAGTTGGCCCTGGAGCCATCCTTCCTGAGCTAAGGCAAAAATGTGTGAGCCGGAGGCTAAAAAACTGTGAGCTAGCTCACACTGACTCAGCTTAGAGGGAACACTGCTGTGGAGTCTTGTGAGCAAAGATTCTACCTTGTGAGCTACTGCAGGGGTCATTTCCTACAGGAGTGCACAGGAGCGGAGCTCTGGCAGTAAAGAGCCCAGGGGGTGGGCATATGCTACAAGCCCCGCCCCCTGCTCCCAGCAGCCCTCAGTCAGAGCAAGAAGCAGCCAGGTAAGCTGCAGAGCTCCCCCCGGCCCCCTGGTCCAAAACAGTCCAGTGGAACCTTTAAGACCAAGTTTTATTCAGGTACAAGCTCTCCCTCCTCTTCGAGGACAGATCTGCACGTTTCCCCCCTACCCATAGCTATCAATTCAAAACAGTCCAGTGGAGCCTGAGCGGTGGGTGTTGCCTTCTGACTCACTTCCGGTGATGTCAGGGGGTGTGGCCTATGCAAATAAGTTATGCTAATGAGCTCCTGCACCTCTTTTTCTACGAAATGACCCCTGCCACTGGCATTAAAGTTGTGAGCGATTTGGCTACTGCGTAAATTAGTTGGCTCTGGAGCCGTCAAGACGTGTGAGCCGGAGGCTAAAGAACTGCGAGTTAGCTCACACTAACTCAGCTCAGAGGGAACACTGGTTGCCAAATCCCACCTGGCCACCGGCAGGGGGGATGAGGGAATAGTGTTGCCAGATCCAGGTTGGGAAACTCCTGGAGGTTTGGGGGTGGAGCCCGGGGAGGCCAGGGACCTCAATGGGGGACAAGGCCCTGGAGTCCGCCCTCCGAAGCATTCCCTTTCCTCCAGGGGAATTGATCTGTGTAATCTGGAGATGTGCTGTAATTCTGGGAGATCCCCAGATCTCACCTGGAAGCCGGCATCTCTAGAGTCCAATCTCCAAGACAGCCATTTTTCTCCAGGGCCGATTCCGCACTAATGCTTTGCCCCCCTTCCCCCCCCCTCGAGTCTAATTGGCCCGATTCTATGTGTGCGTTTCTGCATTACGGAAATCTGACCCGGGTTTTGCCTGGGTGTTCATTTCCGCATGTCGCCTTGCCCCGAATCTAGAGCCTCTCTTCTCCCTCCTCTTTTTTTTTTTTTTTTGAAGGGGAGGTTGCGTTGTAGAAACGCCGATTGGTCCCTTTAATTTTTTGACCCCCGATGCCCGCGAAAAGCATCCATTGATGCAGCCTGGAGGGGGGGATGGGAAGTCAGTATTTGTTGTTGTTCAGTCGCACAGTCGAGTCCGACTCTTCGCGACCCCATGGACCAGCTCCCACCAGGCCCTCCTGTCTTCCGCCGTCCTCTGAAGCTTGCTTAATTTCATGTTCATTGCATCCATGACACTGTCTGACCATCTCATCCTTTGCCGTCCCCGTCTTCTTTGACCTTCAATCTTTCCCAGCATCAGGGTCTTCTTCTCCAGGGAGTGCTCGCCTCTCTTCTCCCCCCTCTTTTTTTTTTTTTTTTGAAGGCGAGGTTGCGTTGTAGAAACGCCGATTGGTCCCTTTAATTTTTTGACCCCCGATGCCCGCGAAAAGCATCCATTGATGCAGCCTGGAGGGGGGGATGGGAAGTCAGTATTTGTTGTTGTTCAGTCGCACAGTCGAGTCCGACTCTTCGCGACCCCATGGACCAGCTCCCACCAGGCCCTCCTGTCTTCCGCCGTCCTCTGAAGCTTGCTTAATTTCATGTTCATTGCATCCATGACACTGTCTGACCATCTCATCCTTTGCCGTCCCCGTCTTCTTTGACCTTCAATCTTTCCCAGCATCAGGGTCTTCTTCTCCAGGGAGTGCTCCCTTCTCATTTGGTGGCCAAAGTATTTGAGCTTCAGTTTCATTATCTGGCCTTCCAGGGAACAGTCAGGTATACGAAGGTGAAAAAGAATGCATAAACCTTTACACAAATGGCAAATTCCAAACAGAAATGAGAAAACAGCATACGGACATGTAAAAGGATATTTAAACGCCGGTCGACAATGGCCCATTGTTGCGTCCAGTAAACGATGGGCTATTATTGCGTTGCAACGCAACGCTGGAGGGGGGAAAGCACGCGCGCACCAAGGAAGGGGGGAAGGATGAGGTCGGGAAGTGGGGGAGGGGGGCAGATGGGAAGTCAGTATACGAACGTGAAAAAGAATGCTTAAACCTTCACACATGGCGAACTGCCAAACAGAATTGAGAAAACAGCCTACGGACATGCAGAAGGACATTTAAATGCCGGTCGACGATGGCCCATTGTCGCATTGTAACGCAACATGGGGAGGGACATTACAAAAAAAATTACTGCGCACGCCGAAGGCAGGCGGGAAGGAGAGGGGGGAGGGGCGAGAGAAGCAGGAGGGCGTTGAAGAGGTGTTGATAGGCGGGAATAAGCATATGGGCGTAGATAAGCATATGGAGCAGAGGTCCATCAGTGACTATTAGCCACAAGGTATAGATGGGGACTCTGGGGCAAGTGATGCTCTGTCATCTTGGTGCTTGGGGGGCTCAACAGTGGGAGGGCTTATAGTGTCCTGGCCCCACTGGTGGACCTCCTGAGGGCACCTGGTATTTCTGGCCGCTGTGTGACACAGAGTGTTGGACTGGATGGGCCTTTGGCCTGATCCAACATTGGCGTCTCTTATGTTCTTATGTTCTTAATGGGAGTGAAGGGGAGGGAAAGAAGCAAAGGGGTGGAGAGGGGACAGCCGCGAATCGCAAGTTCCCCACTGGAATGCCCCAACTTCAACACCGCAGCAAAAAAGAAAGAACCTGAAAATAGCAGGGACAGAAAATTCGGGAGAAAACGCCATTAGATTCGGCTCAATTGCTGATCCGGACGAACATGTGGGGAACTGATCAATTTCCACGGATATATTCGGGGGGTGACACCAGAGGAAGTGATTGGGCGGAATCGGCCCAGGGGAACTGAGAATCAGGAGTTCACTTTTTTATTCCAGGAGATCTACGGGCCCCACCTGTAGGTTTTTCAATCTTGTGTGGCCTGTAGCCACTCTTACCCCCAGAGGAGGAGGAGATTGGGTTTCTGCCCCACCCTTCACTCGAAGTCTTAGGGCGGCTTACAATTTCCTTTCCCCCTCCCCCTCCCCACAACAGACACCCTGTGAGGTAGGCGGGGCTGAGAGAGCTCTTTCGAGGACTGCCCTTGAGAGAACAGCTCTTGAGTGAACCAAGACTTGCCCAAGGTTATCCAGGATCTGTGAGTGGAGGAGGAGTGGGGAATCAAACCCGGTTCTCCCAGATTAGAGTCCGCGCACTTAACCGCTGCACCAAACATACACATATTGTATTGATATCTGTTCATGAACTCTCATCTGGTTTGGACCTTAAGGAATATGCTTTGCACAAGATCTGGAGGCAACCGCTTCCGGAGACGTCTTGAAAAGATTAGACCAGTTCAAGACAGCCAAGTCTCCTGTAAAGGCTTGATAGCTAAACAACGGAGTCTCCATGTACAGAAGCAGTGCACCTTTGGTTATCAGGGGCCAGTCATTGAACATCCTGATCCTTCACTTTGGAAGCTTAACGTGACCCTGCTAGCTGAAGATGTACTGGGTCTTAGCCTGCCTGGCAACCCTTGGTGCATCTTTGCTGCCCTCTAGTGGACATCTCATGCTATGCTCTCATCTTTCAAGCCTTCCGTTTGGTGTCTAAGTGCACGGACTCTAATCTGGGAGAACCGGGTTTGAGTCCCCACGCCTCCACTTGCACCTGGCTGGGTGACCTTGGGCAAGCCATAGTTCTGAGAAGAGCTGTCCTTGAAAAAGAGCCATTTCTGTCAAGAGCCTCTCAGCCCCACCGACCTCCCAGGGTGTCTGTTCTGGGGAGGGGGGGGGGGAAGGAGTTTGTCAGCCGCTCTGAGATACCTTTGGGTAGTGAAGGGCGGGGTATGAATCCAATCTCCTCCTCCTCCTCAGTTTAGTGTAGTGGTTAAGTGCGCGGACTCTAATCTGGGAGAACTGGGTTTGATTCCCCACTTCTCCACTTGCACCTGCTGGATGACCTTGGGCAAGTCATAGTTCTCTCAGAGCTGTCCTTGAAAAAGAGCAGTTTCTGTCAAGAGCTCTCTTCATCCCACCTGCCTCACAGGGTGTCTGTTGTGGGGAGGGGAAGGGAAAGGAGTTTGTAAGCCGCTCTGAGACACCTTTGGGTAGTGAAGGGTGGGGTATAAATCCAATCTCCTCCTCCTCCGTTTTAACTCAGGGACAAACTACACCTTATGGCAGCCACAAGTCTGAACTGTGGCTGCCGCCGCTGCCACCGCCACCGCCACCGCCACCATTTAATGATGCAGCAGGGCCTCCGGCTTTCTGACGGCCCACCTGTCCCACAGAGGTCTACCAGGTTTCCAACAGCAGCTGTCAAAACTGAAAAGGGGAGTCAAGTGCTTACCTGTGCCCTCTGCGTGAAGGGTCTGCCCGTCCACACTTAGCACAGGACCAGAGAGGAATGCCTTCCTCCCCTCCATCCGGTCCACTTTGCTGTCCACGAGGACGACGGAGCCCAGCTGCACAGGGCTGCAAAGAGAACATATTGTGGCATTAATACAACCGGGCTTGCCTCCTTGCAGCTAGAAGCCCACCCTCCTTCCCCCCCCCCGCCGGGAAGGCCTGCAGGTGCCTGGCTCCAGGCACAGTGGCGAAGAACGGCGGACTCTAATCTGGAGAACCGGCTCTTGATTCCCCAATTCCTCCTCCTTGTGAAGCCCGCTGGGTGGCCTTAGGCCAGTCACAGTTCTCCCAGTCCTCCCAGAACTCTCACAGACCCACCTACCTCACAGGGTGTGTTGTGGCGAGAGGTCGATAAAAGAGGGGTATAAGAACCTACTCTTCCTCTTCTACTGCAGTAGAAAAGAGCAAGAGCCCAATACCATCTTAAAGACTAACAACATCCCGCACTGAGCAAGGGGGCCGGACTAGAAGGTCTGTATGGCCTCTTCAAACTCTGTGATTCTAGGATTTGTGGCAGGGAATGAGCTCTTGTGAGTCACTGCTCACTTCTTCAGATACAGGTAGAATGTATGACTCTAGCTGTATCAGAAGAAGTGAGCCGTGACTCACGAAAGCTCCTCCCCTGCCACAAATGTTGTTAGTCTTTGAGGTGCTCCTGGACGCTTGCTCTTTTCTACTGCTACGGACAGACTAATAGGGCTACCCGTCTGGATCTATCAGAAGAAGTGAGCCATGACTCACGAAAGCTCCTCCCCCGCCACAAATCTTGTTAGTCTTTGAGGTGCTCCGGGACTCTTGCGCTTTTCGACTGCTACCGACGGACTAACACGGCCAGTAGCCATTGGCCGTTCTCCAGATCTGAAGAAGTGTACATGCACCTGAAAGCTTATACCCAGAATAAAACTGTGTGTCAGCTGAAGCTGCCATGAGTGTATTGTGTGTTTCTAATTGCTGTGCATTCCTTCCCATGCGCTTAATTGCTTCAAAGCTGTAACGCTTATCTGTCAAGGTTACTGGAGAGGTTGGTGGAGTCTAGCTTTCGTGAGAGCTTCTTTCGTTCCCAGCTTTACGGCCGTTAGAGAATATGCCAAATGCCCGCGCGCGGGAGTCCATCTAATTGGGTAGAGCTAGGGGGGGTGCATACGAATGCCCTATATCCTATTATGCGCATAGGTAGTCCGCCATTCCTAACAGTGTTCATGTTACTGCATCTATGGCTTTTCAATAAAAGTAAAATATGGGGAAATACAGGGTGGTTGAAGGCTGTGGCACTGAAAGAAAATGTTTTCAAAATGGTCCACCGATGGCATATGCCACCGGAAAGACTGGCTCGAATTTACGAGGGACTAGATGGGAAGGGCTGGAAATGTAAGATACAGGTGGGCTCTTATTACCACGCTTGGTGGACATGTAACGAGGTGAATAAATACTGGAAGGAGGTACAGATGGTGCTAATACTGATAACTGAAAAACAAGTCCCGTTAGACCCTAAAGTGTTCCTTTCAAATCTATTCCCGGATGATTGGAGGAAAAAAGAAAAATACTTAATACTCCACATATTAACAGCAGCGAGACTTTTACTCGCAAAGGGATGGAAGGGTGAAAAGGTACCAACAAAGGAGGAGCTGATAAATAAAATAATAGATGTAGCGGAAATGGACAACTTAACTCAAAAAGTGAACGGAAATAGGAATATTCTGTTTCAGAATATTTGGTCGCCCTTTTATAGTTGGTTAGAACAAATTGTGGTATAAACCAGAAGTTATATATTTGAAGCAGGAAGAGGTCGGATTTTGTTGTGTTTGTGTTGGGGTGTTATTCTGCTTGGGTTAGGGTATAGGTGGGAAGGGTTAGTGGTGAGGTATGGGAGTTGTTATGTATATATCAGTGTAGAAAACAATAAAAAAAATTATTAAAAAATAAATAAATAAATAAAAGTAAAACCTTCCTGGAAGCGGGTACTTTGTCGTTTTGCTGTGGATCCTGACATTGTGTTGGTCTTAAAGGTGCCGCTGGACTCAAACTTGGTTCTGCTGCTTCAGACCAACACAGTGACCCACCTGAATCTTTCTTGGTCAGCCGGTGAGATCCACAGCACAGAGTCATCCTTCTGAGCCAATTAGAATCATAGAGTCACAGAGCGGGAAGGAGTCCCTAGAGGCCATCTAGTCCAGCCCCCTGCTCAGTGCAGGACCAGCCCAGAGCATCCCTGACCAGTGTTGGTCCAGCTGCTGCTTGAAGACTGCCAGGGAGAGGGAGCTCACCAGCTTAACCTAGGCTCCTGATTCCCCTCTCGCACAACTCTGACTGTCAAAAAGCTTCTCCTAATATCCAGCCGGTACCTTTCCACTTGAGCCGTGGTGGCTCAAGTGGTTAAGATGCCGAACTGCAGGCTGTGGAAGGTCGGTAGTTCAGCAGTTTGAGACCCGAGTGTGCCGCATGACGGAGTGAGCTCCCGTCTCTAGTTCCAGCTCCTGCCAACCTAGCAGTTCGAAAGCAAGAAATTGCAAGTAGATAAATAGGCACCACTTCAGTGGGAAGGGAACAGCGTTCCGTGCGCCTTGGTGTTTAGTCACGCCGGCCACATGACCACGGAAATGTCTTCGGACAGCACTGGCTCTTCGGCTTGGAAACAGAGATGAGCACCGCAACCCTAGAGTCGGATTCGACTGGCTTTCGAGCAAGGGAACCTTTACTAATACATATGAACACATGAAGCTGCCTTCTAGAAGAGAAGAGGAGGAGATTGGATTTATACCCCGCCCTTCACTACCCAAAGGAGTCTCAGAGTGGCTTACAAACTCCTCTCCCTTCCCCTCCCCACAACAGACACCCTGTGAGGTGGGTGGGGCCAAGAGAGCTCTGACAGAAACTGCTCTTTTTCAAAAACAGCTCTTATCAGAACTGCGGCTTGCAATCCATCAATTTAAAAAGGAGTGGGGAATCAAACCCATTTCTCCCAGATTAGAGTCCGTGCACTTAACCACGACACCAAACTGGCTCTGATTCTACTGTCCATCAAGGTCAGTATTGTCTACTCGGGCTGGCAGCGGCTCTGCAGGGTTTCAGGCTGAGGGTCTTTCACTTCGCCTCCGACCTGGTCCTTTTTAAGTGGAGACGCCGGGGATTGAACCTGGGACCTCCTGCATGCCAAGCAGAGGCTCTGCCACTGAGCCACAGGCCCTCTTGACAGCTCTCCAGGGTCTCAGGCGGAGGTCTTTCCCATCACCTCCTGCCTGGTCCTTTTAACTGGAGATGCCGGGGATTGAACCTGGGACCTCCTGCATGCCAAGCAGAGGCTCTGCCACTGAGCCACAGCCCCTCTTTACAGCTCACCAGGGTCTCAGGAGGAGGTCTTTCCCATCACCTCCTGCCTGGTCCTTTTTAACTGGAGATGCCGGGGATTGAACCTGGGACCTCCTGCATGCCAAGCAGATGCTCTTCCACTGAGCCACGGCCCCTCTTTACAGCTCTCCAGGGTCTCAGGAGGAGGTCTTTCCCATCACCTCCTGCCTGGTCCTTTTTAACTGGAGATGCCGGGGATTGAACCTGGGACCTCCTGCATGCCAAGCAGAGGCTCTGCCACTGAGCCACAGCCCCTCTTTACAGCTCTCCAGGGTCTCAGGAGGAGGTCTTTCCCATCACCTCCTGCCTGGTCCTTTTTAACTGGAGATGCCGGGGATTGAACCTGGGACCTCCTGCATGCCAAGCAGAGGCCCTGTCACTGAGCCACAGCCCCTCTTTACAGCTCTCCAGGGTCTCAGGTGGAGGTCTTTCCCATCACCTCCTGCCTGGTCCTTTTACCTGGAGATGCCGGGGATTGAACCTGGGACCTCCTGCATGCCAAGCAGATGCTCTACCACTAAACCACTGTCCCACCCTAATCCACATACCTCTTAAAGTTTATGCTGAGGTTAGCCGTTAGAACAGCGTCGGTGGCAATGAAGGCGCACAGCGACAAGGTGGCATCAAGAATGGTGGCGATAGACCCGCCGTGCACAATCCTGGAAGGCAAACGTCAGACAACTAAGCAGAGATGAAGACAATGGAGTGGAGATGAGGCTCATCGTCCTAAATGCAGAGCTAAGAGAAGGTGCTGGTCAAACGGGAATCAGAATAGTAACAGATGAATTCTCCCAGCTGAATGCAAAAGCTTTTCTGCATTCTCATTTCCCTGGCTTGTAAATTCCTGTTTTTTGGACAGGTTTTTTGTTCTACATGTGTCTTGCTCCCTCTAGTGGTCAATTCAATATTACATCGGTTTATGTCTGACATAAAAACCTGCAGATGTGCCGGACATAAACTGACATTTTGTGGAAAAGCAGGAACTGTGAGTAGGAATTTGGAGCCTTTCAAAAGGAACTAAGCTTTTAAAATTGGATTCGTCTGCTTCTTTTGTGTGTCCACACTCTGCTTCTTGGGAACAGCTAGATCTGAGTCCAGTCGCACCACAGAGACCAATGAAATTTTCAGAGGCCCATAGCTATGGTGAGGCTTTTGGGGCTCCGCTCCCTCTCGTAAAGGCACCATCTCATAAGAATTTATCCCGTAAATGCTTTTTTCAATCAATTTTTAAAAATTTAAAAAATGTGTGCTCTCCTTTAAGCAGAGTGGGGTGCTGTAGTTCACTATTTCCCCACACTGAGCAAGGGGGTTGGAGTGGGTGACCTCTAGGATCCCTTCTAACTCTGTGTCAAGAAACTGGCCTCCTTTCAGAGAATTCTTCTGTGATTAACTTGCACCAGCTGAGAACTATCATCTAAAGTGGTTGATAGCTTGCAGTTTAGAGGTCTATCCTATTGGCTAAATGGCTTTTCTTTTGGCACTGAGGACTTCAGCCCCACCAGAAGAAAAATTGCCCCACAAGCACAAAATCCTGGCTACGGACCTGCATCACAGTGAGAGCCAGTGTGGAGTATTGGCTGTTGTCGGACTAAGAGCTAGGATGCAAAGATTCACACATCCCATTCCGATGCAAAGCTCACTGGGTGATTTTTGGACCAGTCATGTGCACAGAGATTATCCAGAAAAAAAAAATGCCCCACAAGCCACAAAATCCTGGCTACGGGCCTGGATTTTCTGGGTATAAACGTTCAAAAGTCAGAGCTCCTCTCATGAGACACAAGTCGGAAAGGGCTCAAAAAGCACCTCTGAGCCTCTCTCGGAAGCAGCTCTCCATCTTTCCCGAAAGCTGAAATTCTGAAAATCTTGCTAGTCTCTAAGGTGTTACTCAACTGGAGTCCAGTTCTTCTACTCCAGACCAACATGCAAGGCCATCTCTCAATCACACAGGAGAGATAGATAGGCAAGCCTCTCCTGTGCGATTGAAAGCACTGGCTGAGTCTCCTCCCTCTCCTCCTCCCAGGGAGAGAGAGGGAATCAGCCAGAGCTCGCTTCCTGGCCAGGCTGCCTCAATCATGTTCAGGAGACAAAGGGAAGCCTTTCTTTCCTTCCACTGGCTAAGGCTCCTTCCTGAAGGGAGGCAGGGAGGGAGGGAACGAGTGAAAGCTTGCTTTGCTGGACTGCCTCAATCACATGGCAAAAATACCAGGCACCTTTAAGACCAACAAAGTTTTGTTCAAGGTATGAGCTTTTGTGTGCCTTGCTACAGTGTGTTTTATTCTGCTGGGCTCCTTATGCTGTGTGTGTTTTGTTGGGCTCCTCATGCCAGTGCTCTCCTGGGTGCCACTGGGTTCCCTCCCCCTTTTCATTGTGTTTATACCCTCATGATCCAGTCTTTCTCAGTAAGAAAACAATGTGAAAGTTAATTGTGTTTGTCTGTGTCCTTTATAAAGTGTATATCTCTGCTACCTGGCATTATATTTTATGACTATGAACCAAATAGGGCTAAGCTAAACCATATATATAAGTACAAATATTTATTAAGGTGTACATGTGTTAAAACTTTCCTGATTAAAAATTGCTTTGTCTAAGATCAGACTGTAAAAGCTCGTCCACTATACATACAAATGATGGGTAAAAACTTTACAACTGAAGACCAAACGTGTTTCAGCCCCTAAGGGCCTTCCTCAGTGGTCACTATTATCTATATATTCTAGACACACATTCAAAGACCTGTTACAGAATTCTAGTACACATATAATTACACCAGATGTTGTTTCCTTGTCTACTTATAATTGGGCTCCTGGTATTAGTGATGGGCCATAGGTATAGCCATATCACCACCACAACTTATTCTGGTAACAACGATTTTGTAGGTCAGACCTACAAAATTGCTGTAATTCAAACCCATGTTCGCATCCTCTGCTGCCAACGGGAACAGCTCCTTGTCCTCCTCGAAGTGGCAGCTTTTCAAATACACCCCCATATTCTGCCAGTCTTTGGGGGCCCATCTCAGTCCGTCCATCACCGTCACTGTCTCATAATATCTGCCATCTGCCCCTCTCATCCCACAATGCCATGCTTCACAAAGCCTTACCCCGGAGGCCCTTCCAGGTAGGGACCCAGCTGGAAAATGCCCACCATCCTTTTCTGCGACGAGTTGAAAAACATAACGTATTCAAAACCAAGGCCTTCACTGTCGATGCTCCTGCAGAAGTACCGGGTGTCTCTTTTCTTCTGCTCCTCCTCCAATTTTTCCTTCATATATTCTGGGGAGAGAGGAGTGAGAAGCAATGGAGACGTTGGCAGCAGAGACCCAAAACATGCATCAGTGTTAAGAGTGTGCCAAGGAAGCTGGACATTTCCTGATTATAGAAAGGAACTTCCTGGACCCAATAACCTCTGGGAGCAACCATTGCAGATATGGTTATTTGAAGAAAAGGCAGAATGAGTTCCATAATCTTCACTTATGCTAGTTTCCGTATAGTATTTAAAATGTTTTCTTCTGTATGATCCTGATCACAATCAAACTGTTATGTTAAAATTATATACAAATTTTATGAGGTATTCATGGTTTATCATATAATCAACAAGACTGATAAGATAGGGAAAATGTTATGAGAAAATGGTAGAATGTTGAGTAGGTTGTTATAGTGCTTCTTAAAGTTATGGTGTCATGTAATTTTCCTAAAAATTCAAGTATTTGAATCAAGAATTGTCCTTTATATGTGCAAAAAAAAAGGCCCTTTATACCACGTTTTGGTAATTTTACCTTTTACTCTTTTCCGTTATCCTTTTTCTTTATTCTATATTCCCTCAAAAAGTTCAGAATAAAAATTATTTTTCAAAATAATGATCTTTACTTATGTGGAACTTGACAACAAAGGTTTCTGAAATATTGTGACATGGTACCAAATGTAAAACGATTGATGGATATAATAAATCATGTTAATGAATCCAGACAAGAGAGTATGCCGGTGTTCTCAGATGCAGAGACAGCACTTGACTGTGTTGAATGGTCTTCTTTCGTGTCAATAACAGAACCCTTTAATAAGAGGTAGATTTTCAAAATGTATTTCAACAATACATTCATAGGGCATGCCCAGGTGGGAGGGGGACAAAAGTATACAAGGAGATGATGAAGTGCCCCACTGGCATATCATAATGCTCCCATATAAATCGACGGTGTGACCTTATTTGGAATACTGTGTGCAGTTCTGTTCACACCTCAGAAAGGATATTATAGCACTGGGAAAAGTGCAGAAAAGGGCAACTAGAATGATCAAGGGTTGGAACACCTTCCCTATGAAGAAAGGTTAAAGCGCTTGGGGCTCTTTAGCATGGAGAAACGACGGCTGAGGAGGTGACATGATCGAGGTTTACAAGATTATGCATGGGATAGAGCAGGTCGAGAAAGAAGTCCTTTTCTCCCTTTCTCACACTACAAGAACTCGTGGGCACTCAATGAAATTGCTGAGTAGTCGGGTTAGAATGGATAAAAGGAAGTCCTTCTTCACCCAAAGAGTGATTAACACATGGAATTCACTGCCACAGGAGATACCGGCTGGATATTAGGAAAAACGTTTTTACAGTAAAGAGTTCTGCAACAGTGGAATCAGCTGCCTTGGGAGGTGGTGAGTTCCCCCCTCCCTGGCAGTCTTCAAGCAGTGGCTGGACCGACACTTGTCAGGGGTGCTCTAGGCTGATCCTGCACTGAGCAGGGGGCGGGACTAGATGGCCTCTAGGGACCCTTCCGACCCTGTGATTCTAGGATTGCATGAAACTACAAATTATGACATGATCTTGTTAACTTTATGGGATTTTCCTCATTTATTCGCATTACGTTGAGATCCATATGCATAGTTTTGATTCCGCAATTATGACATGAAGAAGAAGAAGAAGAAGAGATTGGATTTATACACCGCCCTTCACTTGGAGTCTCAGAGCGGCTTACAAACTCCTTTCCCTCCCCCTCCCCACAACAGACACCCTGTGAGGTGGGTGGGGCTGAGAGAGCTCTGACATGAACTGCTCTTTTCCAAGGACAGCTGTGCCAGAGCTTGTGACTGACCCAAGGTCACATCAGCAGGTGCAAGTGGAGGAGTGGGGAATAAAAACCCGGTTCTCCCAGATTAGAGTCCGCACACTTAACCACTGCACCAAACTGGCTCTTCATGACATGGCCATCTATGAAGAGATTTTTTTTTAATCTAGATTTTGTGAGAATCCTGGATCAGACCAGTAAGACAAAAGCGATTATTATTTTTTTACACAGACAGAAGGAATAAAACCAGAGGTCCTTGCCTGGAGCGCTCTCCTCGACACTCCTGTGCGAAGGGATCCTTCTCCAAGTCCCGTCTTCAGACATGGCCATGAACTTGTTGAACTGATCCAGCATGTCCTCACTCCAGCTGGCATTGGGCAGGGCATAATCCTTCAGCTTTGAGGAGGGAAGAGGCCTGACCTGAAAGCAGAGGCCGAGAACAGACAGATGTGTTTGCTTTTGTGTAGGCGTGGATTTATTTATTTATTTATTTATTTATTTATTATTACACTTCTACCCCACCCTCCCTGCAAACAGGCTCAGGGTGGCTCACAACATGGCACCATGTGCCAGCACATAAAAACAGGATAAAACAGTCTCATAAACCAATAAAATATACAGTAATTTCAGTCTATCAGTTAAACAAGATGGTATCACCTCCCCTGTTTGGGGGCCCGTAGAATTGGACCCCCTGGTCCAATGTTCTTCAAACGTGGTTGATATCTTGGGGAGAGGCTCCAGCAGCTGCCCTGCGAATTTGGAGCCTCTCCCTTAAACCCCCTCCCCTCCAGCCCCCAGAATATACCCTATGTTTTGCCAATGCCTTCAATGGCCCATAGGATATAATGGGGCCGAATTGCCGCCGAAATTCGGCAGCAATTCGGCGGCAAGCTGATTCAGATCAGATAATCTGAATCGGCCCGCAGCAGCCCGAAAGGGGTCCAAATGGGCCATTTTCGGGGGTGCATTCGGTTCAGACGAACCGAATGCACATCTCTACCACAGAAAAAAAGTTCCTATCTCTTCAAATCTTCCCACCACATCTGTACTCTGTGAAGATGAAGAAGAATTGGTTTTTATACCCCGTTTTTCTCTACCTTAAGAAGACTCAGAGTGGCTTACAATTGCCTTCCCTTCCTCTCCCCACAACAGGCACCCTGTGAGATAGGTGGGGCTGAGAGAGCTCTGAAAGAACTGTGACTGGTCCCATGTCACTCAGCTGGCGTCATGTGGAGGAGCGGGGAACCAAACCCCATTCGCCAGATTAGATTCTGCTGCTCTTCACAACTGCGCCACGCTGGCTCTCCGTGTCTGTGGGCTATGCGTTCAGTTGCTGATCATCTGGTGGGAGGGGGGATTTTTAAATTTATTCATTAATTCAAAGATACCCCACCATTGTCCCCAATTGGGACCCAAAGAGGCTCACGTCACTTCCCTGCCCACGTACCCTTAAGATCACCTCTCCAGGTATATCTCCTGAAGTTCTGCTGATAAGAACTTGCTTGTGGTCACTGATCCAAGAGATATACAGCTGTCTTTGGTGGAACCTGTGCTGCCAGAAGAGGTCGTGATGGCCACAGGCATAGACAGCTTTAAAACGGATTTAGACAGATTCATGAAGCAGAGGTCTATCAGCAGCTACTAGCTGATGGGACATAAAGGAACCTCCAGGTTCAGAGGCGGTCAGCCTCTGAAGCCCAGAGCCAGGAGACAACATCAGGGGAAGGCCTCTGCCTCTCTGCCCTGGTGTTGGCCCTCCAGAGGAAGTGGTTTCACCACTGGGTGAGATGGGATGCTGGACTAGATGGACCATCGCTGGTCCGATCCAGCAGGGCTCTTCTGAGGTTCTGATCAGCGGAAGGCCTCGGCCTCTCTGCCCTGTTGTTGGCTATTCAGAAGACTGGTTGGCCACTGTGTATCAGGTTCCACAGCAAACAACTGAGTACACGCTTATCAGAAAGGTTATACTTTATTGCAGAGCTATAGATGCATTAACAAAGTCACTGTTAGGAATGGCGTCACCCCTACAAGCATAATGGGATATAGGGTATTCGTATGCACCCTCCCTTCCTTACACCAATTAGCCACATTCCCGCGGGCGGGAGAAGGAGCCCCAGGCTGTTAGAGCCGAAGCTGAGAACCGAAAGCGCTCCCACGGTTCCCTGAAGTGCAAACAACTCACACCACCCGCAAGGCCATAGGTAAGCAGGCATTACAGAAGCGAAGAAAGAATGCAGCGATACTTGAGACACCCCCAACCCTTATGACAGCATAGCTGTGTGAGAAAGGATGGTTGACTGTATGGACCCTCACTGGTCTGACCCAGCAGGGCTCTTCTGAGGTTCTTCTCAGGGGAAGCCCTCGGCCTCTCTGCCCTGTTGCTGGCCCTCCAGAGGAACTGGCTGGCCACTGAGTGAGACGGGATGCTGGACTAGATGAACCCTCACTGGTCTGATCCAGCAGGGCTCTTCTGATGTTCTTATCAGGGGAAGGCCTAAGCCTCTTTGCCCTGTTGTTGGCCCTCCAGAGGAACTGGTTGGCCACTGTGTGAGACAGGAGGCTGGACTAGAGGGACCCTCACTGGTCTGACCCAGCAGGGCTCTTCTGATGTTCTGATCAGCGGAAGGCCTCGGCCTCTATGCCTTGTTGCTGGTTATTCAGAGGAACTGGTTGGCCACTGTGTGAGACAGGATGCTGGACTGGATGAACCCTCACTGGTCTGATCCAGAAGGGCTCTTCTGATGTTCTGATCAGCGGAACGCCTCGGCCTCTCTGCCCTCGTGTTGGCCCTCCAGAGGAACTGGTTGGCCACTGTGTGAGACAGGAGGCTGGACTGGATGGACCCTCACTGGTCTGATCCAGCAGGGCTCTTCTGATGTTCTTATGAGGGGAAGGCCTCGGTCCCTCTGCCCTGTTGTTGGCCCTCCAGAGGAACCGGTTGAGGTCACTGTGTGAGACGGGAGGCTGGACTAGATGGATTCTCACTGGTCTGACCCAGCAGGGCTCTTCTGATGTTCTTCTCAGGGGAAGGCCTCGGCCTCTCTGCCCTGTTGTTGGCCCTCCAGAGGAACTGGCTGGCCACTGTGTGAGAGAGGATGCTGGACTAGATGGACCCTCACTGGTCTGACCCAGCAGGGCTCTTCTGAGGTTCTTCTCAGGGGAAGGCCTCGGTCCCTCTGCCCTGTTGTTGGCCCTCCAGAGGAACTGGTTGGCCACTGTGTGAGACAGGAGGCTGGACTGGATGGACCCTCACTGGTCTGACCCAGCAGGGCTCTTCTGAGGTTCTTCTCAGGGGAAGGCCTCGGCCTCTCTGCCCTGTTGTTGGCCCTCCAGAGGAACTGGCTGGCCACTGTGTGAGACAGGATGCTGGACTGGATGGACCCTCCCTGGCCTGACCCAGCAGGGCTCTTCTGAGGTTCTTCTCAGGGGAAGGCCTCGGCCTCTCTGCCCTGTTGTGGGCCCTCCAGAGGAACTGGTTGGCCACTGTGAGAGACAGGACGCTGGACTAGATGGACGACTGGTCTGACCCAGCAAGGCTCTTAGGTTCTTAAGGAGTGGCTGGGGGAAAACATTGCACCTGTGGCGTCACTCAAGGGTTAATATTGACCTTCTACAGGAGATGGCCCCTATCCCGTTGGTCAGCTTAGAGAAAGTGGCTTGCTTTATGCTCTCTCCATCTTGAGGGTTTAAAACTGGATCTATGCCATTCATAGGTGTGTCCACGTTTTTCCACCTTGGGTCCATTTTTTTATGGGATAATCCAGAGCTCACTGTTCCTTCAGGTGAAGCATGTGATCCTACCAGGTTTTTTTGCCCCCAGCCATTTCTGCAATCTTTATCTATCTATTTATTGTCTAGGGGAGGCAATTTTGTGGGCGGCTTTGCTTTCAAGTGTTGAGGTAATTACCTGCTGTTTTAACACGTTTTCCCGCAGTGTCGAAAAACTGGCTTTCTAACACCCACCCGTAGAGTCTTCTGGGGGGCATCTTTGCTGACGGCGAAAGGCAACAACCTATTCGCCCTGCGCATAATTTCATAAACCTCTCTCATGTCCAGTGTTCCCTCTAACCTGAGTGTGAGCTAGCTCACAGTTTTTTAGCCTCCAGCTCACACATTTTTTGTCTTAGCTCAGGAAGGGAGGGCTCCAGAGCAAACTAATTAACACAGCAGCCAAATCGCTGGCTCGCAACTTTAATGCCAGTCGCTCACAAAGTAGAATTTTCGCTCACAAGACTCCACAGCTTAGAGGGAGCACTGCTCATGTCCCCCCCAGTTGTCTCTTTTTTAAACTGTTGTCATGTAACCAATGTTCTCTCTAAGCTATGGAGCCCTGTGAGCAAAAATTCTACTTTGTGAGCTATTGGCATTAAAGTTGTGAGCAGGAGATTTGGCTGCTGCATAAATTAGTTTGCTCGGCAACCGTCCTTCCTGAGCTAAGACAAAAATGTGTGAGCCGGAGGCTAAAAAACTGTGAGCTAGCTCACACTAACTCAGCTTAGAGGGAACACTGCATGTAACCTTTTCAGGAGACCTCTGTCTGAAGGACAGTGAGTTCCACAAGAAAATCCCGTGTGGCGTTAAGACGTAATCACAACACTTTGCAATAGCAGCAGGCGTTCAACGTTCAAAGCATTCAACGTAGCGTTATTTTGCTGAAGTCCTCACCACTCTGCAAGGTGGATCGGACAAGAGGCGTGCCAAAGACCAGCTGGAATCGTAGAATCGTAGAGTTGGAAGGGACCTCCAGGGCCATCTAGTCCAACCCCCTGCACACTGCAGGAAAATCACAAATAACTCCCCTCCACACACACCCAGTGACCCCTCTTCCATGCCCAAAAGATGACAAAAAGATGACTAGTACATTTAAAGCAGAAGCAAAAAATTTGAAGTGGGTGCATCCCTATTCATTAGCTCTTAAGTACTGAATTGCTTCCTCTAGTCTCTCCGGAACCTTCTGCCATTACCAGAAAATAAATTTAACTGACCGGAGGAGGAGAAGAGAGGGAAGAGGAGAAGACAGGATTTATACCCCGCCCTTCACAACCCAAAGAAGTCTCAGAGCGGCTTACAATCTCCTTTCCCTTTCCCTCCCCACAACAGGCGCCCTGTGAGGTAGGTGGGGCTGAGAGAGCTCTTTCGAGACCTGCTCCTGAGAGAACAGCTCTGAGAGAACTTGTGACTCACCCAAGGCCATACCAGCAGCTGCATGTGGAGGAGTGGAGTTCATTAGCTGTTGTAGATTGTGGAGGAGTGGGGAATCAGACCCAGTTCTCCCAGACAAGAGTCCACTCTATTAACCACTACACCAAAACGGCAGCAGCTTCAGGGCATGCTAAAAAGAAATATTTCTCCATATCGAGAAGACTGGGTTTACGCTTCATCTGAAAAGCAAAAACACTACTTTAGCTGTTGCAGATTTTCCAGGTTGTCTGGCTGTGGTCTTGGCATTGTAGGACCTGACGTTTCGCCAGTCAGGTCCTACAATGCCAAGACCACGGCCATACGACCCGGAAAATCTACAATAGCGAATGAACTCCGGCTTTGAAAGCTGTCGACAACATATTAAAAACACTTCTCACAATCGTTGTCCCCTCTAAACTGAGTGAGTGTGAGCTAGCTCACAGTTTTTTAGCCTCCTGCTCACACATTTTTGTCTTCGCTCAGGAAGGAGGGCTCCGGAGCAAACTGATTTCTGCAGCAGCCAAATCGCTGGCTCACGACTTGAATGCCAGTAGCTCACAAAGTAGAATTTTTCCTCACAAGACTCTCCACAGCTTAGAGGGAACATTGCTCACAGTGCAATTTCCTTGTACTCACTGTGGTCCTGGAGAACGACATGTATGTGGGATGGAGCGAGACCCCTTTGGAGGCAGCCGCCCGGGGGCCGCTTCCGGAGCCCACCCAGCTGTCGAGACACTTCACCAGGTGGCGGCCACCCCTCCTCAGCATCCTGGACGTTCGTCCCACACCTGAATGGGTTTCTGCTCTCGTGGCTCAGAGTGTGGGAAAGAGGATCGGAGGAGGAGATGTCTGTCACACGGAACGAGGCCCACGAGGCTTCCCTCAAGGCCCTTCAGTTGCCAGCAAGCTCCTCCCAGAGGCCAGAAGGTTGCTCCATTTGACCCCAGGATATATTACAACAAACAGGACCACGGTGTGTAATAGCCAGCAAAACAGTAAATCACCGTGTACGATTAAACAATATTTGTTGGTTTTTATATGCAATGCTGAGAATTCAATTATTAACAAGGTTACAACAGTAACACTACGATGTGCGATATAAAGCTTAGCAGTACATACAAAGTAATACAGTACTAGTTACAGACAAACGACGGAATCCTAGTACACTATCCGTTTGCGTGTCCTTCTGCAGGTTTGTCATTCTGTAATTACAAGAGGAGGGCCCGCGATACTCGCGGGGGAGGGGGGAGAAGAGCTCCGTCTCCTCCATCCCCCCATCTCCCCGCGGCGGCGGCGAGGCCGGTGTCACCCCCCCCCTGCCTGCCGGCTCCGGGGAGGAGGACGCGGCGGAGGTGAGGCCCGGCTTCCCCCGCCCGCCCGGCCTGCCTGCCGGCTCCGGGAAGGAGACGGCAGCGGCGGTGAGGCCTTCTCCCTGATGTTAATTTCCTAGTTAGAATGTCAGACCAGGATCTGAAAGACCGATGTTTAAATCCCCAACTCTGCCATGGAAGATTAATGGTTGACCTCTGGCAAGTCAGACACACTCAGCATAACCCACCTAGCGGGGTTGTTGTAAGGATAAAATGAAGGTGGGGAGAATGATGTAAGCTGCTTTGGAGTCCCTGGTGGGGAGAAAGGTGGGTAGAAATACAGTAAATAAATTCTACCTGCCAGGGAAGACTACTCAGTCCCCTGCATCCTGACATGATACAGCCCAAGCGTAAGTTTACCACGTCCATGGGAGCTAGGGCCTAATATTTTCCCTTTGGATAATACCACAGGGAATGTCATGAGACATTAAGGGCCCCTGGAATCCTCTGCCTCAGGAAGAAGAAGAGTTTGATTTATACCCTGCCCTTCACTCAGAATCTCAGAGTGGCTTACAATTTCCTCTCCCCATAACGGGCACCTTGTGAGGCAGGTGGGGCTGGGAGAATTCTGAGAGACTGGCCCAAGGTCACCCTGGCCCAAGGCTGCATGTGAAGGAGTGGGGAATGAAACCCGGTTCCCCAGACCACTCTTAAGCACTAGGCCAAACTGAAAAAGAACACAGGATCTGAATGGCATGTCCTCAAGCATTCCTGGCCAAGACTCCCTTCGAACTCTTAACACCACCTGGCCTCATGCTCCAAATATTTGCTCCCACTCCTTGCTCCACCGGCTGCATGCTGGCTGTGGCTTGGCTCAGCGTTCATTAGCTTGCGTCAACATGACAGATGAATCCCAGTGTAGGAGGGCCCTTTGAAGCTGGGCACAGGGCCAGGCAGTGACTCAGGGAAGCAGCCATGCTGTGGGGAAGCCCCAGGAAGCTGCCCTCGGCCTTCAGAGACACTCACTGACACTTAAGAGGTATTTCAAAGGGGATTAGATGAAAGGTGGTTAGCCATAATGGCTAAATAGAGCCTCCACGTTCAGAGGCAGTATACCTCTGCCTGCCAATTGCTGAGGGGAAGGATAACAGCAGGCCTTTGTGGGCCTTCTGAGGCATCAGGGGGGAACAGGATGCTGATCAGCAAGTCCTTAATGGGTAATTTTCAAGGATTAGATACCCAGCTAGTGCCATCTGCAAGGATTTGGTGTGCCTCAGACCACCATGGGCTGGGCGACCTTGCCCAACAGGTCTTATTCATAATAATAATAATAATAATATACTTTATTGTCATTGTACATAGTACAACGAAATTAAAGGTGCAATCATTCGGTGATCTACAACCATACTCATACACTCACCCAACCATTCTCAACCATCCCATAACTCCCTTAAGGTTCACATTGCAACTTAAACCACCAATGTCACCCAAATTCCAATTTCATGCAGGATTTAAAGCAACAATAGCTCTCGAATAAAAACTATTTTTTAATCTGATTGTCCTTGTTTTAAGAGAACAGCTCTGAGAGAACTTGTGACTGACCCGAGGTCACACCAGCAGCTGCATGTGGAGGCGTGGGGAATCAAACCCGGCTCTTCCAGATTAATACGCGCTCCTAACCACTGCACCAAACTGGCTCTCAACGAGGGACCTACCCCCCGCCATATAAATCTCCCGTCACTTCCCGTGAGGATCAGACAACCTTGCCGATACAACAGGAAGGGTATGGGTTCTTTCTTTTAAGGCAGCATTCTTAGTGGTGCTAACGAAGGGGTGGTTCAAAGTCTGAGTGCCAGGGGTACCTTTGAGACCAACAAAGTTTCATTCTGGGTAGAAGCTCATTAGCATAATTCATAAGCATTTGAATATGCCACACCCCCTGACATCACCAGAAGTGTGTCAGAAGGCGACACCCACTGCTCAGGCTCCACTGGACTGTTGTGGATTGCTAGCTATTGGAGGGGGGAACGCGCAGACGTGCAGATCTGCCCTCACAGAGGAGGGAGAGCTTGTACCTGAAGGCGGGGGGGCCTCTGCAACTTACCTGGCTGCTTCTTGCTCCTTGTGGCCCGACTGAGGGCTGCTGGGAGCAGGGGGTGGGGCTTATTGCATGTGCCCGCCCCCTGGGCTCCTTACTTCCGGAGCTCCGTCCCTGTGCACTCCCGCAGGAAATGACCCCTGCATAAAGGCATGGAAATTCTATACTCCAATGGGCCAAAGACACGAGTCATGCAATGTTTACCACAGACATACAATTTTCTTCCACAGTTCCAAGATGCAAGACGCAAAGTTGCTTGTAGATTATGCAAAACAAAGTTGCTCTCCAAATAGATGGCAAAACAAATGTTCCTTTGACCTGATGCTCTTCATTACTGATCAAGTGGCCCAGGAAACAGTGAAATTGTATACAGATATAAGTGATATGGAGGAAAAATCAAAGGGATCTTCACCTAATGGGGATTTTAACATTAAAATGAGAGCATTTAAGAACATAAGAACATAAGAGATGCCAATGTTGGATCAGGCCAAAGGCCCATCCAGTCCAACACTCTGTATCACACAGTGGCCAGAAATACCAGTTTAAAGAGAATATCAAACAATCGCTTATCAAATTCGCAGATGACAGGAAGCTGGGTAGGATTGCGAATTCTGAAGAAGACAGAGACATGATAGGCTGGAACCGTGGGCTGAGACATATAAAATGAATTTCAATAGAGAGAAGTGCAAAGTCCTACACTTAGGTACAAAAAAATCAAAGGCACAGAGTGGGAGGGACGTGGCTTGACAGCAGCACATGTGAAAGGGATCTGGGTGTTCTAGTTGATCACAAGCGAAACATGAGCCTGCAGTGCGATGTGGCTGTGAAGAAAGCGAATGCAATCTTAGGATGCATTAACAGAAGCATTGTGTCCAGATCACGGGAGGTGGTAGTTCCGCTCTGTTCTGCTATGGTCAGGCCTCACCTGGAGTCCTGTGTCCAGTTTGGGGCACCACATTTTAGGAAGGATGTTGACAAGCTCGAGCGTGCCCAGAAGAGGGCAACCAGGATGGTGAGAGGGTTGGAATCCAAGTCTTATGAGGAAAGGCTGAAAGAGTTGGGTCTGTTTAGCCTGGGAAAGAGAAGGCTTAGAGGGGACATGGTTGCAGTCTTCAAATAGCCAAAGGGCCATCATGTACAAGATGGAGCGGATCTAGTCTCTCTCGCTCCGGATTGCAAGACTAGATTGAATGGGTGGGAATGACAAGGGAGTCGATACCGGCTAAATATTAGGAGAAACTTCGGAACTGTAAGAGTGGTTGAGCAGTGGAACAGACTGCCTCAGGAGGCAGCAGGTGCTCCTTCGCTGGACGTTTTCAAGCGGAGGCTGGACGACCATCTTTCGGGTATGTTGTAGGTATGTAGGGCTATCTTTCAGCTGTGCTCCTGCAGAGTGCAGGGGGTTGGACAAGATGACCTGCAAGGTCCCTTCCAACTCTAACATTCTATGATTCTATGATTCTATGAATGGGGGGGAGACTAGAGAGATGAAATTAAAGAAATTTGAAAGGGATAGTAAAGATTAAAGGTAAAGGGGGGAGATATTTGGATAAAAGGATGTGAAAAGTTTGTTATATGACATAAAATGTTACTTATTATTATATCCTAACAAAATTGTTTTTTTTTTTTTAAATAAAATTAAAGGTAAAGGTTTCCCTTGCTTGAAAGCCAGTCGAGTCCGACTCTAGGGGGCGGTGCCCATCTCCGTTTCAAAGCCGAAGAGCCAGCGGTGTCCGAAGACGTTTCCGTGGTCATGTGGCCGGCATGACTAAACACCAAGGCGCACGGAACGCTGTTACCTTCCCACCGAAGTGGTACCTATTTATCTCCTTGCAATTTCTTGCTTTCGAACTGCTAGGTTGGCAGGAGCTGGGACCTCCCAGGCTAAAGTATACAAATGGAGTTATTCAAGTCCAACTAGAAAATAGGAGAATTACATAGGCTGACCCTTGAGGTAGTATCTGATTATAATACAACTGATAGGGAGGAAGAAGGAAATTTTAGACCCATATTGGAAAGGGAAACTAAACAGAGCAGATGGGTGGAATTTTTTCAGTATCGTCTCAGAGGGAAGGGACAGAGGAAAACATAATTCTTAATAATTCTTCTAGAACTTGAACTGAAAATGAGTGTAGGGTGCTCAATTTGAGGTTGGGTTTTGTACCCGCGCCCCATTACGATGCATTTCAGACCCAGATAGCTGTATTTAAACTCATTAGAATGTTAAAGTTAAAAAAGAAAAATTGGCAAATCCCAGACGGTTCAATATAATAAATATAAATATAACGAATACAATAATAAAATATCATAATTAAAAAAAATCATAAGAACGTAAGAGAAGCCAATGTTGGATCAGGCCA